AATCACAGAAATGAAAGGCTGGAAGGGGCCTTAAAAGATCGAGTCCAGCCCCCCTGCTCTGGGCAGCAATACTGCTGAGATCGAATGATCCTGGCAAGGTGTTTGTCCAGTCTCCTCTTGAAGACTTCCAAGGTTGGGGACTGCACCACTTCCTTGGGAAGTCTGTTCCCCATTCTAGTCACCGTTCTGTAAAGAAGTTCTTTATATCCAACCTGAAACCATCCTCTAACAGTTTATGGCCATTGCTTCTAGGTCAACAGCTTGTGTATGTATACAGACTTTGCCCTCTGTCTTTGATAAAGGTCCACTGAGTTAAAGATAGGAAGAAAAGAAATATTTTTGGATATACTTTGGTAGGATACCTCCTATCTTTAGAGAGAGACTTTTTTGCATAGAAAGTTTCCTTCACCCCTTGGACTTGTACTGTATGAGGGCATGGACACATGTAACACTTAGGCCTATTTAAAAGCAGATTCAACCTGAAACGGACAGACCTACCAGCTGATTAAACAAGTTTAAAATCACCTGGAGTGGTTCAAAATTGTACCTGGAAAATCAGGTACTCCTTTTGAGCTAGTTCACAGGGCACCAGTTCATTGTTACCTGTGAGCACCAAGCATCCTATGACATGGATGTGGTTTGTCCTCCAGACATCTCGCACTGCATCACTCTCCCCTGCTGCACAGCTGTCTGCTGTCATACACCGCCTCCCTGCTGCCTTCCTTTTTTCCCTTTTGTTGGCATAACTTTTCCTGAACAAGGTATCTTTCTAATGACTAGCTGCGAACTCATTGCCTAACTCATCATGCCCCCACCCCAGTCCCTGGGAAACCAAAAGCATGTGTCCAAGTACCCTCCCACCCCTCTCATCACTGCCATCCCAAGTCAGACAAGCACGCTGTGTTTTGATCAGTTCTCGGCTATTGAAGTTTTTGAACTCATGTTTAGAAAGCAAAGGAAACCAACAAAGTGAAAATGTACCCAGACACGGGTCCCCCCGGGACTGCCAAAGCCTAGGTACAAGTAATCCCTCCAGCTAACCTACTGGGAGGTGTGCCAAGCTGGTTGCTCATTCCCCATCCTGGTGTTGGAGCCATAGCACTTCAGCACCTAAAAGGTGACCGCTCTGCCTGCAATACTAGGGCACTGTGCATACAAACACCTGTGACCCAAGCCAGTTGTGAACTCATTCACAAGCCATGGCATTCAGGAACAGTTTGATTATCATGTGTGTCCTCATCCTGAGTTGTCCTGGTTAGAACTGTGGCCTGTCTTTAACACCAGCACTATCCCCGGCTCCAGGATTACTGATTAGCTCCCCTCATCTGGCTATTTTTGGAGGGAAGTGGAATCCACTGTAAAGTTTATTCAGATCCTAACATCTACTTTGCCCTTATTGATGTGGTAAGTCCTAATTGAGATCCAGAACCCAAAGCCCTGGAGGTGGAGCTGTCTTTTCAGATGGTGCTGTTTATGTGGATGGAGTGAAATACTGGTTATGCTAGTAGGAAAGTGACTGTTTGCATCCCATGGCTGGTTCTTGCTTAGCCCCTGTACCATACTGAAGCCTTCGTTATTTGTCGACTCTCGTGAGTTGCTGCAGCGAATATGTCCTGCAGCTGCCAGCAATGGAAGAATTCGGTTTTTGAAGGTTGGCCAAAGTGCTTGAGGCTCTGCAGCAGATTTCAGTTGAGTTAGAAAATACATGTCAATGAGGGGTAGGTGTCTGAAGATGACTTTAAGTGGAAGGAGCTAGATCAATATGGATGTCAAGGAGGAGTGAGAGTTGCACTGTAACATCCCCCACTGTAGAGGTCTGATGCATGTGCGATGAAGAAGTTTCTAAGAGATGCAGAAATGCAGATAACGCACCAGGATGCGATTTAAAGAACTTCGGGATAGATTGCCTAAACAGCAGAGGGTTGATAAGAGTAAGTTGGTTAAATTTGAAAGGCTCTGAAAAGCTCTGACAGTCTCTTAGAGGCGATGTCATAAAAGGAAGAAAACATAGCACTTCAGGAAAAAAAAATCAAGGGAATTTCAGGGTGTCTTCTATAAATATAATGAATCCAAACCCTCTTAAAAATGTGAACCTTAAAACATTCAGCCTCTTTGCTAACTGAGAAGCAGAATCAACAGGCTGAAGTCCCAGGGTTGCTCATGCACAGTCTCTCTGAAGTTTGATCAGTTTTCTTTTTAGGTGGATTCTGAAGAACCCGTTTTTGAGGCAGTTATAAATTGGGTGAAGCACTCGAAAAAGGAGCGGGAAGCCTCTCTGCCAGAATTGCTGCAGTATGTGCGCATGCCACTTCTCACCCCTCGCTACATCACAGACGTCATAGACACCGAGGTATCAACAGCACAGCAATCTTGTGGTATAGATGAGATAACAGTCAGTATTTTTATTGTGCCTTTGCATCTCGTAGTTCAGTTCCCTTGTATAGAAGACATTAGGGTCTCTTTCTCTCCTGATTCTTTTCAGGGATGACCTGTAACCCATGGTACCCAAGTCTGTTGGAGGTGCCATTTTTCACTACTGTCATCAGGAGCAGGGAACAGTTTCCTGTAACAGTGTAAGAATCAAGTCTCTAAACACACACATCGGGCCCTTCAGTTGGAAGGAAGACCCAGGCAATGGAAGTGTTGAGTTGCTTGCAGCATGGGCTGCTTGGCACTTGGGAATGTGTATGTCTACTGTTTAGTAATAAATACTAGCCAGTCCAGAGATGTAATAGTCCCTTCACATTGATTAACAGATTGTTGGAGATTGTCTGAGAAAAAATGGATGAAGCGAAGGTTGGGAAAACAAATACATGCTTTGGGATTTCGCTGTAGAGGTATTTTGAAACTCATACTTTATCAAAAACGGAACTGGTAACGTTGTGTAGCCTTTGTTCAGTCATTATGGACCATGCTGTCCTTGCTCTGTGATATAATCATAAATAATGCTGTTGGAGTAAAAACCGCTGGCATGGAAATTCTGCCCCAGGCCATTATATCACGTGGCCGTTTTTTTCTGATGAGAAGCTACTAGTTTTCTAGCAAGTACCTGGCAACACTAGGGGTAGCTGAGGAGGGCGCTATCTCACAACAGAGGAGAGGTCCAAAGGGAGGGAGCTACCTGATATAAGAAGAAAGGGATGCAGAGATGAATGGAAGGTAGAAAAACATCCAGAATCAACAGGTTGGTAGAGCCAGTGATGTTGGGCCCATGCAGAGTTCAGGCCTCTGTGTTGCCCTCCTCTGGTCAACTGAGAGTTTGGCAGGGGTAAACCCTGGTGTGTGGTGGTGGTCAAAATAAAATAGCATAGCCTTTGCAGTGGAAACTTATGTGCCAAAAGGAAATCATCTTCATAGTCCACTTGGGGTGTGGTAAAGGGATTACAGGATCTATCACTTGCTACAGCACTGATTTAAATGTGATCAGTTCAGGTTCCCTGGTTATTGAGTCCCTGCCAACTGGTAGGAGGTGAATGCTGATCCTTCAGGGTTTTCTACACTCAGAAATGACTTATTAAGCTAAAGCATATTCTAAAGCATCACAGCCCCCTTAAACTGTTTTAAGAAAATCTGTACAAGGGTGGCTGAAATATATGTAGCTTTGTTAGAAGGCAGGAAAGGATGACTTCCTTAGAGACTAAGTGGGTCAGAGAGACGCATACTTCTGTAGACAATGGCTCGACACCTATGAAAGTTCATCCCTCTGAACCAGTTTTTAAGCTGTCCTAACTTCTGCCTGACTTCAGATTAACCTAGCTCACTACCTCTCTATTCGTTTAGCTTTCTGAGGTTTGGACTCAAGTCAGACTGACGCGATCCACCCTAAACAGTGAAATCTGAGCCTCCATAGAGGGACTGGTACCAATTTAATTGCATTGTTTCTGAACCAGTGTGCTTACATCAGTAGCAGGTTGGTGCTGTCAGCCATGTCTCAGGTTTCCCACTGTTTGAGGTGGTCTTTCCAGGCTAGGTCTGAGGCTTAGTTGCAGGCACTGGCCTGTTGTCTCCAAGGTGTATTATCTGGATTTTGTGCTGCCTTCACTGGCACTAAAAGAAACACTTCTTTGAAAACCAATTTACAGTCTGGTGCAGAAATTAATAGTATCATGTGCTGCGTGGAGGAGGCTGACCCCTTGACATTGAGCAAAGGCCATTCAGGAGAATAACATCCAGTCCCTCTGCCAAAAGAATGGAGGTTGCAAACAACTGTATATTTAAGGTCTGAAGTCGAGAGAGGGGAGACGAGATTTAGTCCAGGGCCAGGTGCACATGAGACTGGCTGCAGCCATATAATGAAACTGATTTTAAATCAGCTTGGATGCCGCAGGGCTAAGCCTCAGCAAAAACATACGTGAGCTGTTTAAACACTGTTTCCCTTAGTTTAATTTAGTTTGGTAATGTACTCACTTTGGCTAGGGAACCTGCAGTATCTGGTGCTGTTCAGGGAATCAAGGAAGTATGCCTGCCTTACTCTGAATTTATTGATTCCTCAGCTGAAATCCAACTCCAAGAAGCCTTTTGTCCTTATTCATCTGTGGCATTGGCCACCTTCTCTATTAGCCCGTCATGCAAATCAGTTTAATGCCACTGAAATCCCATGGAGCTTATTTTAAAATCATTATCTCTGGGGAACTGCAAATAAATCATACATACATCACGCTTGTGTTTTTTCCCCAGCCTTTTATTCGATGCAGTTTGCAGTGCAGAGACCTTGTAGATGAAGCTAAGAAATTCCACCTAAGGCCAGAGCTCCGGAGCCAGATGCAGGGACCCAGAACCAGGGCACGTCTAGGTGAGTAACAAAAACGAGGACTCGGAGAAGGATGGGTGATATTGTCAGGTGCAGTATAATAGATGTTCTCTAATGACTTCTAACTAACGCCATCAGGAAGTTGTCAAGCACTAACAGGTTACCTTTGACAAACCCAAGGGAAGCAGGTACTTATTCCCAGTGTACAGGGGAGGAAACTGAAACCCGAAGGGAATGACCTGCTTTCATAACAGTGAGCCAGTGGTAGAGCTGGGAGAAGAAGCCACATCTTACTCCTGCTTGTGAGCTCTAGCCCCAAGACCTTCTTTCCTGGATGACTTATCTATGTCTCTAAGGATGTCCAGGGTGGATTTGATTTAAATCAAATCAGTTTAGATCGTGGTTGAAATCATGATTTAAACCACTAGTCGGGAAGCCTCGATTTAATCATTGTTTTGTCCAAAAAGTGCCTTCTTGTTTGATATAACCTTAATACATATTATTCACAGCTCAAAGATAGATGTAGGTTTCATTTTTAGAAGGTACACACTATCCATTTTAAAGCAGTGATATATTTTGAGATTTTTTCATATTAACTGAATTATGGCATTTAAATCATTTTAACTAAAGCTTATGTATTTTAGATATTTTTCGTCAAGAACAAACGTATAAGTATTTTAACAAAAAGCATAGGTCTTTTTGAATTTTTAACTATTTAAGTTATAAATATGAAATGTGGTTTTAACACAAATTAAATAGATTTCAGCCAGGTCAACATGAGAAACTTAAAATACTGGGTTACGCAGCAAACTCAGTCTTCACCTTCCTCTTCTTATTTATTCATAGACTGAAAAAGAAAGACAAGCTTTCCTGCTTTTTCAGTGCCCAAGCGATTTTTCAATGTAGAATGAATTAGTTCAAAGAAAGAAAATATTTTTTTATACCTGCAGAAGAATCATAGAAAATGAGGGTTGGGAGGGACCTCAGGAGGTCACATCTAGTCCAACCCCCTGCTCAAAGCAGGACCAGCCCCAGCTAGATCATCCTCTCTTGCTGCATTTGCCCCCCCACCTCCTTCACATGGGAGTCAGTGGTGCGTTGCTGAGGCAGCCCCAAGGCCCCTTAAGCCCCTCTGTATTCTTAGTGCCCCTAGTGGGGGGTAGCACCAGTGCTAAGCCTGCACCTGGGTGTTGCCTGCGGAAAGATGCTGGGGCTGTTCTTGTGCTCCAGAGCCCAAAAGCCCCAGCAGGGCAGGGAGTTCCTAAGGCCGCAGCTTCCTCTTAGCAATGGCTGGGACAGTCTTGGGAACGGGGTCTGCACCCCTCAGTGCTGCAGCACCCCTGAAAGGATCTTAGTCCAGGCTGAGAATCACTGCTCTGGGAGGGATCCAACACTTGCATTGGCAGGGGTGACACATAAGGGGTGCATACAGGTGCACATGCACCCCCCCCAAACGTGGTGGTGTATCTCCTGCAAAAAGATGCCACCGGCAATGTTGGTGGTGGCTGCGGGCAATCACCACTTGCCACGTTGCCACCGATACCACTGGCAGCGTCTGCAGGCAGTCCGCAATCACCCCTGGCTGCCACCACCAATGCCAGCAGCGCCTGCAAGTGGTCACCGACCCCTGGTTGGCACTTGCCACCCCTCCCACCACCAACAACAGTGCTGGCAACATCTGCAGGAGCTCCACACTTACCATTGCTGGGCTGTCACCACCATGCCCCCCCAGGTTCCAGGGGCGCACACCATTTATGTGCGTTGGGGTGGCAGAGGTTGGCCCCCAACAGCTCTCAGATCCACC